AAAAATGTTTGACAAAAAAAGAAAATCACTTCCTGATTGATTCCATCCATTAGCTAGCATGTGTCTATTATTGGCAAACCCACAAGCTGTCATCAGCTGCCTAAAGTGAGTGATTATAGTTTGCAGAGACTGAAATGGATCTGGAAACCTGAAGCACTTTGACATATGGTTTGCTGTCTAGGATATGGCTGGTATGCATTTATACTGTGTGTCATGCTGAGGTGTAAAAGATACTTGATATTTCATACAGAACAACTTGTACATTCAGACATTTTGCTCTGCACTAAGGCCTATGGGAATTGTAGTAAAGATGAGAGCACACCTAAATATCGTCAGAACACTAATATATGTAATATGTATCTGTTGTAACCCCTTATAAGACTTTTATCAAAGTTATGAAGTTATGAGAGTAAAGAGTAGAAGTCCATGACCACCCATGGGTCCTTAAAGTTAAACAGAATCTATATACCAGCATAATGACGATGTTTAAGGATTAAAAGATATTATCTTAATGTTGAATTATTAATCAAACCCTTTGTGATGTAAAAGTTATTGTATTTATTAACAAAATTCAATTTGGCTAATTGTCAAGTCCTTCTTGGTCTGTTACAGGTGTGTTAAATTAGAGAAAACACAAAACTGTGTAATGATGGCTGAGAAACACTGAACTAAACTCACTACATAGCCTGTGGACAATTACCACATTTAACACTTTACTTCAGTTGACTTGCTTTACTTTCTTTTTATTGTGTTGTCTATTATGCAAAGATTTTAGACGTTACTTATAGTATTATAGGTTTGACATAAATACATGCACACACACACACACATCATCTAAACCGCTCATCCTTCTGGGTCGCGGTGGGGTGCTGGAGCCTATCCCAGCTGTCATTGGGCAGAAGGCAGGATACACCCTGGACAGGTCGCCAGTCCATTGCAGGGACATAAATACAAATAATTACAAATTTCAAAGCTTCCTCATGAAATATTACGATTAAAGCCTCAGTCCAGCATTTAGGGGTGAAACTAATGAGCCTTTTTAAAAATAAGGCTGTTTAAAAGTCAACGACAGCCAGACTGAGCCAGCTCATGCTACAGTGAGAATAGCTGGGATGTAAGGAAGTTGGCATCTGAACTGCAATACACAGCATCGCCCTGCAACCAATCTGCCCTGATAAAATGGTTCAAGCCTCCTAAGTATCTATGTCAAGAAGTGCTGCACACTTGGCTATTGGGTTGCTTCTCTGGCTGCTTCACTCTCAGGCCAGTCCAAACCAGTTCTTGTTTATCACAGGAACAGTAGCTGCTCTTGGATAAACAAAAGGAAGGGAGTGTACTCAATCAGACCTCCAAGGCTTCAGCCAGCTAAATTTAAACAAATAGATGATGAATTATGTGTGGTGTATTCCAGGGTCAGGCACACAAGACAAGGGCTGCCTTGTCTTTCCCTCCTCATACCTGTTGCATTCTTAAAAATTGCAGGAGGGTAAGTATGTTAGTTGCACTACACATCAAACCATTGTGAGACATTTTATTATGCACTGTTACTGTGAATTTAAGTTGCAGGTTTTTTTGCTTTTAAATTAATTTTACAGGAGCTTGAAGGTAGGATAAAGGATCCAATAATGAATACAATCTGGCTGTAAATCTCCAGTATTTTATAAAAGTTCGGACATATACTTGAGTGGAAGTCAGATAACTGATTTGGCAGTCCTCCTGCCATCACGTTGCCTCTGTGGAGACATGGCTACCGTGCTGACTCAGCTGAAAGGGAACCACAGTGTTGTGTATCAGATCTGACCCTTCTGGCGGCATAGCAATGGACAGATGCAAACAGGCTTGCTCAGTTGAACCTGGAGGCGCATTCTCTGATTACTACCTCCCTGATCTAGCTCTGATCTTTGGTTAGTTACAAAAGTGTTCTGGAGTTCCACACCCATTTTTAGAGCCATGAGATTACATAAGCTGGGAGAAGATAATGCATACTCAAACTGTTTTTGAAACTGCTCTATAAGGAAAATGAATGAGGAAATATACAGGACTTCCATGCTACTAATTACATGTTGACTTACAGCAGTGAAATTTGTTATGTTTAAAAATGCTTACACTCAAAAAGGTATATTGTGCCAGCAGTATTCAATGTCACAAGACACTGTTTGGTGTCATGAGTATAAAAGAGCGTTAAAATCATTTTACATGTTTAATTTGAACAAAATGAAATAAAAAATAACAAACCTTTTTTCTGTTTTATTATGGGCAGAGACAGCTATTTACCTACACCAAAAAAGCCAAGTGAAACAAGAATTATGAAGAGACAAAAACATCATTATATGCCTGAAGTTGCCACTTTCTTAAGAATACCTATTTAATAATGTGTCGTGCCTCCTTTGGCCTTTAGAACAATTCAGCTAGGCCAGAATTCTACAAGATGCTGGATGTATTATGCAGGAATGTACCATGAAATAAACGATTGCATAACACAGTTGCTGTAAATTAGACAGCTGTACAGTCTTGCTGCAAACTCTCATTTTAACCTCATTCCAAATAGGGCTGAAATTCAGGCACTGTGCAGGCCACTGAAGCAATTAATCAATGTCATGTTCCTGGAATCATTTGGTAACAACCAATGCTTTTTGTGACATGGATCTAGCTGAGTGTGCATTAACTATGGCTATGAAGGGATTATACCAAAGAGGAATCCAAAATCATGTTGCTTGCACCAAATTCTAATCTTTCCATCAGTATGTTGCAAAGACAAGCTGGAGTTATCCAACCAGGCAATTTTTTTCCACTACTCAGCGATCCAGTTTTGATGCTCCTGGGCCCACTGGATACAACCTTTCTTGTTATTCACTGGGAATATTGGCACCTGTCATTGCCTTCGGTTATTGTTTGCATTTATTCTAATGTTATAACGTTATATCTCAATCTTTATTTCACGTTTTTCCAGATAAATGGATTTTAACACTTGCTATATATATACACCATTCAAAAGTTTGGAACTGCCAATTCAAAACCAACTTGGTTTCAGATAAATGCACAAGATGATTGTAAAATGCTAGTCCTGTGTAACCTCAATGGTTTGAATAATTAATAATAAGCTAGGAGGTTGTAAATAAAAAAAAAATAGATTAGACCACAATGATGGACAGAGCTATAGAAGGTTTCAAGACGACAGAGGAAGCTTTAATGCATCAAGAATTAAATCACAATAAAATTAATATCTAGAACTCATCATATTTCGAAAGCAGATATCAAATCTAAAAGTAGATAACTTGACAAAAAATTTGAATAGATAACTACAGCATGTTATTTATCAATTTATTCCCTTTTTTGCTCACAGAATTCTTGAAAAATTTAATAAATCACCTTTTGGTAAATAGTTTTTAATATTTACATCCACATTGTTATTATTGTTGTACATAAAATAACAACAAACTTTTAAAGATTGGGTATTAGGTATTATTATATAAGTATTAGGTAATATTATATAGGTATTATTCTGTTGTTTGGCCTCAGATTGTTTGGAAAACAGGTGGAGCAAATGATTAATTTGATTAGTTTAGTTCATGCAGCAGCAGCGGCAGCAGCAGAAGCATCAGTGAGGTCAGGTTGTGAGGATGAGGTTTGCATGGTGAGCAGTGGCACCCGATCAAGGCAGAAGAGGCAGCAGCATCAGAACGCACAGGATGGGCAGCTGTTCAACTTGGCAAAGAAAGGAAAGAAAGGAAAAACACACAGAGAGTCAGTTCTGTAATGGGTGATTGATTAATTTGATTAGTTTAAATGATTGATTAGTTCAAATGATTGATTTTGATTAGTTTAGTTCATGCAGCAACAGCAGCAGCATCAGTGGGGTCAGGTTGTGAGGGTGAGGTTTGCACGGCATTGTACAGTAGGAGGCTCAATGGTGGTAAGCCGGTCCAGAGGGCTGGCCAGCAGGGGCACCCGATCAAGGCAGAAGAGGCAGCAGCATCAGAACGCACAGGATGGGCAGCTGTTCAACTCGGCAAAGAAAAGAAAGGAAAAACACACAGAGAGTCAGTTCTGTAATGGGTGACTGATCACAAATTATAGTGTTAGCAGAGCAGCAGAGACTCTGGCAGGTATAGAACTGACAGGGAAAACTAATTACCAAAGGTTTGACTATTCAACTGAGGCTGTGTCTGAATCCCAAACATTAACAGGAAGATTATTCCAGTGCTGGGGGGCTTTGTATGAGAAGGCTCTCCTCCCTAACGTAACTTTATTAATTCTAGGTACTAATAGTAAGCCAGCACCTTGTGATCTAAGTAGGCGTGATGGTTCATAGTGAGAGAGAAGTTCACTCGGGTACTGAGGGGCGAGTCCGCTTAGAGCTTTGTAAGTCAGTAAGAGAATTTTATAATCAATGCGAAATTTTGTGTAAGGTTGATAAAACTGGGCTGATATGGTCAAACTTTCTGGTTCTAGTAAGAACTCTGGCTGCAGCATTCTGGACTAGCTGAAGCTTGTTAAGGCTTTTGCTGGGACATCCAACCAGCAGGGCATTACAGTAATCTAGCCTTGAAGGCATGAACAGATAATCTACTTTTGAATATTTGCCTGATCATGTTAGGCTGGTTTAATTCAACATTAGGACAAACGTCAAGAGCAAATTTGTGCTTATGAAAAGTGAACTTACTTTTTGTTTTTCTTGACTGTCAACACAGGTGCATAATGACTGGTACAGAAAGGCTTTGATCATGTCATTTGACCCCAAATCTTCCCTACATCCGAGTAATTTGTTGATGTGTTTTGTAGAGATTTGTAAGAACCTTATTCACGTATTCATCTAACTCTAAGATGAAAGCTTGGAAATTGTGTTTGGCAAATACCTATCATCTTATCATCAATAATCAGTCAGCTTGCTGTTATATGCTCAGGAAGAATTACTGAAACAGTAACAGTACATGATGATCTTTAGTAGTTAAAAAAGAAACAAACAAAAAAAAAAACATGAAACAAACTAAAAACGCTCACTGAATACAAAAAGGCTTATTTATTTAACAGATGAAGACAAACATTCACTGTGGTGTAATATACATAACCTACAAAATCATGATACAAAAGTAAGCAACATGCGAAAGATACAAATCTATAAAAAGACACACATGCATAACAAACAAAATATATTGCACCTTTTTAAATTTCTAATTTTAGGAGAAGCTTAAATCAGTTTAGACCTTTCAGCCCCTGAAATGGAACATGAGGTAAAACAGATGGAAGTCTGGTTCAATAGCTATGCACCTGCCAGACTGAAATGCACATCTTGATTCATGTATGCACTACATATACATCATTATTTTGCAGTGAATTTCATTATTACCTGGAAGTGTATTTAATAGAATGTTAAGAGGAGAAGTTCCTATACAATGGTATATGCTAACTCATTTGATCAAACATAACAAAAAGGACACAAGTGTCTCCATTTACACTTAACACAGGATATTCCCTTTCAACCAGATAAATACAAACACAAGACACAAAGCATGAACTTAAATCTGGAAAGATTAGGAAAACTGCAATAGGCAAAAAGAAAATAATATTAATTTGTGCCAAGGCCACAGAACTATGTTCCATCGCTCAAAAGAAATAAGAAACATGAGTGCACCTGTTAATATGCACTACACCTGCACACTTCTTAGCGAATGATTTGTCCAACTTTTTCTGCTTGCTCTGGCATCATATTTGCTAAGGTCAGCTATATGCTATTCTTCAGACTTCAGCAGTTCCTCAATGAAAAGTGCTAATAATTATTAGGCCAACGTGGTCATGCTGTCACAGGCCATCATCAAGATTAAATGAGTTTGAAAACAAATGTGACACTCATTTAATTCGTATTACTTAAACTGACAAAAGAGGTCTGAGGTCAGCTCCATTGACTGTTATGCCAAGAACAGTTGGAGTTGTATATGAAAGAAAGGGGGGGAAGGAATGTAATTCCTCTTGCATCTCTGTACACCCTCTTTAGTCTTTCTGGTGATATTTGTTCACCACTTCAAGTAGAGCAGAGTCACATGACTCGGAGAGACAGACTAAGAGACTGTTTGGCTAACAAGCAAACCGTCTAAAAGTAAGCCCTTCATAGGCAGTAGGTGATCTACTGTTGTTCAGTGCATGTCCTGTACTTACAAGCATGCCAGAACTAATCTCACCACATACAGCAGATTTTGTTTTGTCAAGGAACCTCACCAGTTTTTGAAAAGTGAACATCAGGATACCATTTACAAACTCTGCCTCATAACTCAAACTCAAAAAGATGTAATGCTGCCACTCATTCATCTTGCCACTGAATAGACCTGTACAGACCTAATCGTCTCCATAACACCTTCTGCTTTTCTGTACAGCACTACTTATGGCTTTTAGTAACAAAGTTATATGGTATAATGCCGGTAGTCTTGTTCCAGTATATACAGGCACTGATACTTCACCATGCTGATTTGGAAATTACATTCAAACAGCAAATAATGAGAATCAAGACCTGATACTTTGGGCCACTGATCCAGAGCGCTGTGGATTTTCTTTCAGTCCATTCTGATTTAATGGGCTCAGCTTTACACTTTCAACTTGCATTTGGTGCCCAATCACCATGGATGGATGAGAGGATTACTTGAGATCTCCAGCAGGTTTTGTAGGTCACTCAGCTTTATTTGATCAGAGGGGCAACCTCACAACCAGGAGGGCACACTTTGCCATATCTCCTTGAAGGCAAACTTCTACAGCACAAAGCAGTCTGGTTCCTCATGTCTCTTTGTGGAAGAACAAACCCCAGTAGTGGGTTTAAGCTCAACAGATATGAAACCCCTGACATCACTGGTCAGGCTCTGTTCTTCCTTCAGCGAGATGGAAAGGCATCAGATCTTCTGTCCTGAGTGACGGTTGCCTGCTCTGGATTGGGATCAATCTAAAAAACCCAAAATCGTGGTAAATTTGTGATTATTTGGATTGAGAATATTACTTAAAAGAGAACAAAGCATTCCAGTGTATCTTTAATGCAGGATGTACAACGTACCTCAGAGTACAGGGGAGGAGGCTGGAAGCGGAACTCCTGAATGTAAGCAAACAGTGATCCCTCCAGTTCATCTCTCACTGCAGGGAGCTCAAAATTGTTCTGACGTTGCTCGTCTGTGACAACTTCAGAATAGTTTGGTGGGGCTGAAGGAAAATAAGCAAAGAAACATTAATCAGGGGCTGAAGAATACTTGATTCTAAAAACCTAATTTGAGGTTTCACCTAAATTCATAGCATAAATCACTCATTGTATAATTTCTATTTCCAATGCAAAGCCCTGGATCATGCTGTATTACAATTTACATTTTGTATATGTATTGAGATATGTAGGTTTGTGCTCTACCTTCAGGCCTCTCAGGCAAGGCCATTCCCAGCCAGCTCATGGCCATGCTGCACTGGCTGCTGACAGAAGATGTGCGACTGCCAAAAGGGTGTAGTGGTATGGTGCCAATTACCAGGGGTAGGTTTAGAGACAGATTCACAGCACGAGGGATGTCCACATACACCTGTGTGGAGGCATGACATTAGCCCATAACACATCAAAACTCCTGACTAGTAGATAAATCTGGTTATTAAATCAAAGCTAAATTATGGACCAAGTTTTGTTCTCACCATAAGGGAATATTCCACACGGATAATACCACAGACTAGGATAGAAGGGGAGACAGGAGGAATTTTCAACATCTTGCCATCCCAAGTTTCAGTTCTGCCGGATGGTAGAGGATCTCCACGGAGGTTAGCAATAAGCTGTTTGATCTCCTTTATCTTCCCTTTGGCATAGAAGGTTTGTGTTTGGTAGATGGCTGCTTTTGGCACAACCACTCGGGAGGAGCAATTCTCAATCTCAGCAAAGATCTGAATGGATTCTCCTGCAAGAAACCACACAGATCTATAACGGAAAAACACTTTTAGTTTGTATGTAATGCACTTCAAAATGAACACTAGCAGATACAGAAGTCCTTGGGCAGAACACCCACTTGTACATATTTTGCTTCTTACCTGGAGTGTAGCCTTTTCTCTCAATTTTAGCACTTAGTGAAACAGGCCCTGAGGTGCAGAACCAGCAGCAAAGTGTTTTTTCTTTTGTGCCAGCCTGGGGTGACTGTAAATACAATCAAATAAGCAAAGGCAAGTCACAGATGTACATTACTATACTGAATACCTTCAACTCTATCTGCCTTTCTAGAGGGCTTGTCTAATGTATTTCTCTCACCAGCAACAGGGGAGTGTTGATGTCAATGTGCTCAAAGACAGTGAACTCCTTCTTCACTTTCATGGGCAGGAGCCAGGGTCGGTGCAATTCAGCTTTCACCCAGTAGCGCACACTGCCATGCTTCCCTTCGAACGATGTTGCCAGAGGCCTAGAAGGAAAAAGAGGGCCATATTTGCCAAAAATGTTCATGTGATACAGAATATTGTACCTAATTCATTTAACAGTTCTTTAGGCTGTTTTAACAATGTGGCACAAATTATAATCTTTTTTCCACTATTGACATAAATGAGAGTTAGTAAGACCAGAGGCAACACTTACGTCTGAGGGAGTTCAAGGCTGAAAGGATACTCATGGCGCCCTGAGTGAAGTACAGTGAAGCCCTCTTCACAGTTGTCATCATCTAGAACAAAGGAAAAAAAATTCTATATACCAAACCTGAAAAATTATTTAAGTTCTCTAAACACACAAAAGTATTCCCATTCATAAACATGTAATGAGACATCAAAAGACTTGAGAACTTGAGAAACAAGTGTTCCATTCAATTCTGTTTGTGATGAAACAAAATGAGGAGACTGAAGAAGAGCTTTGTCCTCAAAAAGTGTAACCAGTACATATATTCAGTGGCAAAAAGTGATGTATGTCTAAGGTGTAACCAATTGTTTCCTCTTTTAACCCAAGGATATGTGTAATTATATTTGTGTGTATTTTCATAATACAAATTAACATATTTCATTGTTTTCTTAAAACATGTAAACATTAGACTTGTTTTCTTTATTAGAATTTTTTAAACCTCTGAGATTATCCTCTTTCTCAGTTATTTTGCTGCCACCTCAGCAATCCAGCACAGCCTAACCAGCAGCAGTACTGCTATAAACAACCACCAGGCTGACACTCAAAGGCAGCCAAGAGCTAGAAGAGACCGGACTAAACCGGTGTAAGCAGCCGCCCTCAGCCGGATTTCCTCATGCATACATTACTAGTAGGCTTTCAGTTGGCTGAGCTGGTTTAGAACGCCCCCATAAGGTACAGGCATGTGTAGTGCAGCACGGTTTCAAAGAGAAATAGAGAAATAGAGAATATGTTTCCAGACATACACAAACCAAGTTCATCTCACATTCAAATAACTACACAGACAGAAATACACTTACATTGATTTACATTTATTGGTTACATGCTTAAATACATGGCTACATATTCAGTGTACATGTTACAGAAAAAAAGTGTCATAATGAAACAAATGGTCCACTTGAATCGTTGAAATGACGAAAAAAGTTAGTGAAGTTCGCTTTGTTCCCCTCTCTCTCTAAAACCGTGTTTTTTCTCGTGATGTTGTGACTTGTTAGTTGGATATATAATATTTCTTCAAACGGTTTAAGATCTCCTAATGTGACGTAATACAGATAGGCTTTGAACACAACGCAAACAGGCCTTGTGCATGGCCACACAGCTGCAACTAAGTTGCAATACAGGCTTGACACTTCTGCAAAGGTATGAGGTCATTAGACACACACGAGTACATCCACCAATCAGAACGCAGAGGCTTGTCCGCACAACCCCCTCTCCACATCCAGTTTCCGAACAGGTTTAAACCGCTTCTAACAAAGGGCACAAACTTACTGGAATGCCCCAAGAACGAAAGTAATTGAATTAATTTGGTAATGTTTATCTTCAAAGTCTCCGTAAATCTTTAGTCGACGTATTTTTTGTAAAAGCTTTAAAAAAAGTTTTAAATCAGTCGATTGTAGTTGGGTAAAGATTTGCACGTTGTTTGTTTTGTACAGTAGCATATAACTATTACCGCAGTAAATTTGAATCAAAAAGCCACTTTTGTGTCGAAACTGTTCGAAAGGAACTGGGACAAATGTTTTCGTATATGGGTGAAATTAAAGAGTTTTGCGTAGTAGCATACAATGTAAGAGGCATCCATTATTTGGACTAAGCACCATCGCATCACTGAACGTTGTTTTAGAAACCTTGTAATTCCACTGTTTATTTTTCACATTCAACAAAAGCAGGTAAATTTAAGAAAGAATTGTGGCTGAAAAAATAACTATTAGTTATCAAAGCGAGAGAACCATTAAAACCAGCACAAGCACAATAAGGAGCATCTGTCATTGCAGCACTATATGAGCATCATTCATTGACAGCCCATTCGTTTCAAACAGTGCACAAATCTAAATGCTCCTTACCTCTATAATGTCCAATTAAGATGTCTCTATGGTTTAAATACTCCACTTCTTCTGTGTAATTTTGTGTGTAAGCAGTGTTGGATCCAGCATTGCGTGATTCAGTCCAACGAACTTTAGCCAGTCCTTTGGCGTGAATGTTCAAGGATTTAACACGAATTTCTCCGGTGACTTCGATGATCACTCTTCCTGAGACATAATCCCCACTTGCAAAAACGGGGACATTACTGTCATTAAAACAGTCATAGCTGACGAAGAAGTTCTTCACCTTTCCGAGCACCATGGTGTAAAACCGGCTTTGAAACAAAAAAAAGGAAAAGAAAATCTCACTAGTAAAGAGTGATCTTAATGCACTGACCAGTTATTATGCCATGCAGAAATGCTGCAGGCCGGTTCAGTGCTTTAGCTACAGGACACTCATTGAGGTTGCTTCAATAACAGCACTGTAGGCTGTTTGGAGCTACTGGCAAACGCAGCTGCCTCCCTGTGCTCAGTCAGGTCTTATAGCAGAGTTAGATGAAAAACAACCCTTCTGAGCATGTGCAGTCGGTCGCTTAGACTGCTGGGTCTTCCGCCTTCCTCCTGCTCGTTAGCCGTTGCAGTACACGGTGGAAATTAGGAGATACGCTCCATCACGATCAGTGACTTATGAATTTTACCAAGGATTGCTATGATCCCATTTCAGACAATTGCAGTCTATATTTATGAATAAATATCTCATTCATGCTAATTGTACCCCAGAGTTTACTTTGAGATACCCAGATGTGCATTTGCAGAGCATAATGTTTAAAACAATGATTTATGGCCAGCTTTTATAGAAAATAAAAATGCTGCTGATGACAATTAAGAACTTTTGTAACTATCCAGGTAACAAGTATCACTAATTATTTTACAAAAAAAAAAAATGTAAATAGTGATTAGCTGTACACAAGCTTTCACACTTAGGCATGGGCAGAGTTGCTCAAGTAAAAGTATTGATAGCCCTACTACAATGAAATATTATAAAGTACTACAACTTAAAATGTAAAAGGAGTGTCCTTACCTTACAAATAAATTGAAGTAGATGTAACAGTATCAGCATTTGAAAATACCAAATAAAGTACAAACCTATTAAAAATTTACTTGCAACATAATGTAACTATCCATATCTAGTAGTTGAATAGTAGTGAATAAACAAAGTCTATATGTGTAAGTCAATTTTCTGAAGGGTTAATTTACCCATCCATATTAATACTTTTACTAAAGAAAGTAATAATCTTTTAGAATAAGAATAAATTTTCATAATTTAATGCCACCTATATTTGCTTGCTGGGAAATTAGTAATCACAACATCTTAAGAACACTAAAACAAACAACGTTGTTGCTGGCAATAACAGAATGAAAGTGCAAATCATGTTCTGATACACATGCACTTTATTTTGCTTACATTTAATGTAAATTGGAGCATGTTTTTGCCCATTTCACTCCCACTAGAAGACAAGAGAAATTCTAAACTCTAAACAAATGTTTCCATGAATTCTATATTATTTCCTTGAAGATATGATTAGATTATACATTCCAGTACTGCTCCTAGCATTCCCCTCTAAATATCCTTTACTTCCCTTGATCTTTTGCTTCACCTAAAGTTTACTTAATGGATGGCTCCTGGCTGCCATCTGCCTGTTGAGGGTGGTAATAATATTCTTCATTCATTACTCATTATGCATTCATAAAACAGCTTTAAGTCTATATAAAAAACAAGGTTTAAGACGTTTGAAGACTTGGATGATACTGATAACATTAAGTTGTGTTGTTTATTAAAATATATAATAATCTGTATACTGTTTGATAATGTTGAAGAAAATACCTTCATTTTCCATTTTCTTACTTCACATTTATGAATATTCGATTTTTTTCCTCACTATGTTATACACCCAATTCTAAAAACGTTGTGACAGTATAAGAAATGCTAATAAAAACATAAAGCAATGATTGGTAAATTGTGTTTAATCTGTATTCTTTCGCCCAGAGAACACAATGTCCATTATTTCCATCATCGATCTGAAAGGTTGACTCATCAAACCACAGATGTTGGCATTATTTCTGGATGCTATTGACAGCAACAGACAGTTTATTTACCATGTTTTTTCAAAAGTATTCCTGAGCCCATGTGGTGATATCCATCACAGAAATATGCTGTTTTTTTAATGTTGTCTTGTCTGGGGGATCAAAGATCACAGGCATTTATTTGTGGCTTTCAGCCTTACCCAGCATCACTGTGAGGTTGAAGCCTATGAGTTCAGTGCTTTGCATGTGCCTCTCTGACTTGATGTTTAATGAAGAGCACTTCGTATGGTCTCCCTTGTGGCTTACTCTCTGCCAATGCTACAGTGATGTCAGAAATGGGACAAAGTACATCCAGTCTGGAGTGAGACAGCACTACAAAGAACTTTTAGGTGTGCGGTGAGAGAGAGGCTGAGCCCAGTGAAAGACCATGACGACAGGAACAGCACTAAGATGCTCCACAGGGAAGCCTGGCAAGACCTGACAGCAGAACCAGTGCAGGAATGCTCAATGGCAAAGCCGGAGCGGGAAGCTTGAAGATGAAGCCAGCATGGCAAGGCTCATGGCCGTAGGCAGCACGTTGAAGCACAATGGCGGTGCACGTGAGAGGGAGGCTGACGAAAGCAAAACCGTCAAAGGCTTCAGTGTGGAAACACCACAGCTGAACTTGGTGAACCTGCATTGCAGAGAGAGAGGACACTGGATCGTCAGATAAATGGATGCATGCCTCAGCCAATGGGTCAAGTGCAGCATGGATGGTAGACAGCTCATTGCGTTTGCCCTCATGGGCTTCCTGATATCCCCACTGTGACCAGGAATGCTCAGGCACACTGAGAGGAATACATGAAATGGCTGGGGGGTGATCATTGTCCAGCTCAGGTCAGTCACCAGCGGCGGATGCAGGGCCCCAGTGCGCATTAGTGGGAATTGTGCCAACATCGATGGCATGCTGGGCGGCGGAGACTGCGGAGGGCGGCCAGGTGTTGTTGCTGCCATTGCCCCAAGCTGTGCACTATGTGTGGAAGGATCTGTGGCAGCAAGGTCACAGCCCTGGGTGAGGACTGGAGGCACTCACTTGTGCATATGTGCTGGATGGCACTGTGCGAACCTTGGCTCAAGTTGGTGGGTCACTGCAATGGGTGGGATTTTGGCATGAGAATATGCTGTGACAGGAAAAAAAATAAAATTATGAGAAGAGAACTTGTGAAAATTTAGAAAAATAAAAATTAATTGATAGAAATCAACAAAACTGCTAAGAATGCTGTGAAGTTTTTTTGGACAAAAGATTATTCAATCTGTAGGACTGTTTGATCTTAATTAGATTTTCCTAAATAACTTAGGCATTATACAAGTAATACAAATCTAATTTCTGGAAAAGTTGGGACATTGTGTAAAGTGAGATAAAAACAAGAATCTGTGATTTGTTAATTCTCTTGAACCTTTATTTAACGGACAAAAGTACAAAGAAAAGTTTTCCAGTGTTTTCACTTACCAACTTGTCAACTGTATTTTGTAAATATAAACAAATTTGCAATTTGGTGCCTGCAACACCGTGAAAAAAAGGTAGGATAGAGTCATGTATACCACTGTGTTACAACATCTTTCCTTTTAATTACTCTTTTTAATCATTTGGGAACTGGGGATACTAATTGTTGCAGTTTTGCAAGTGCAAGTTTTGTCCATTCTTGCTTGATACAAGACTTCAGCTGAACAACAGTCTGTGGTTGTCACTGTCTGATTCTCCTCTTCATTATGTGCCATACATTTTCAAAAGGAGACAGATCTGGACTACAGGCAGGCCAATCAAGCACAAATACTGTGTGTCTACAAAGCCACACTCTTGTTGCAGAATGCGGCCTGGCATAACCATGGACCTCCCTGGAAAAGATGTCATCTTGATGACAGCATATGTCTCTCTAAATCCCAATATATGCCTCTGCATGAAAGGCACCTCCACACAAATGGTAGTCCACTGGCATAGGGGAGGGGCACACAGGGTATGCACTGCACTGCTTGATCAGAGGTGGCCCCCAGGAGGGGATGGTAAAATTTAAAAAATAGTAAAAATAAGAAAAATTCTAAGAAAAGCCCTGACGCTAGTCACTGGTCTAAAAAACAGTGTAAAAAAAAACAACAAAAAACAAAAAAAAAACAGTAAATTGTGTCCAATCAGCTTCCTGGATGACGTTAGGCCACCAAAACATAAAACCTGTTGAAGTGAGTGCAAATCTTGCTTAAGATGAGCAAACGAAAATACAAAGTGCTGCTCAGAAAAGGCACAGCCAACACAGGAAAGAAGAATTTAATGCCAAATTGCCAAAATTTTGTCTTTTATCTCCAATATACATGCTAGTCATTATTTACAAGGATGATCTTTCACCCAAGTTCCCATCACACATATTTTCCTTCCGAAATGCTCTCGGATCAGAGACAAAAATCATGAGCACAATTAAGGGTCTGACCAGGACCCTTTTGCTCCTGAGCCATTGCTCAGTTCTGTCCAGTGTGACAGACATGACCACTGCTCTTTTATTACATTACTTTTTATAACTGTGGCAAGTACAGAAAGGTCATTTTCAAAACTGAAAATCATCAAAAACCTAAGAAAGTCTGACGTTCCAGATCTGCTATTCTCAGCATCAAAAGCCAGCATGCTTGTTAAATGGATCTGACAGACATTGTGAAGGAATTTGCTCAGAAAAATGCAAGGAGGAAGGGACATTTTGGGCATTGTTAAAGGTAAGAACATTTTATTGTGTTCTTTCTGTTAGTATGCTTGAATACAGATCACTGCAGAGACAACTGCCAGCTTGAGTTTTGTCATGTTACTACATGCCAGTTACGTCAATAATATTTTTAGTTTTGCCCTCACAGTGCCTCCACCCTGCCTCTTGCATTGGACCCCAGAATTTTGCGCTACACCAATGTGCAAGTCACCCATATTGTGGGCACTGATGCACCCCCATAAACTTGAGAGAAGTTGGCTCTTGCACCTTTCACTGATAAAAGTCTGGATGGTCCCTTTCGTCTTTGGCACAAAGGGCTAAATGTACTTTTTCCAAAAACAAGATGAAATCATCTGACCACAGCGCACATTTCTGCTGGGCCCAGAGAACTCTGACGGGTTTTCATGCAATGGCATCTGATGGCTCAGGGGTCATGCACATTCGACAGTGGTTTCCAGCTTTGCCCTATGCAGACTCAGATTTTCACGAATTTTCACATTTTAACTTTTTTTCCTGTCTCAGCTAATTATGTTGCAGGTATCAGATTCAAAATTTGTTTATATTTACAAAATACAATCAAATTGGTTTGTCAAAACATTAAAAGTTAGTCAGTTAAATTAAGGTTCATGAGAATTAACAAATCACATCTATATGTATACACACACACACAGACACACACACACACATCAACCAGCTACTTCATTATACCTCGTTATATCTACATTCATTGTTCATTATTTCT